AAGAAAGGGGAGGGAAAGTGGGATCGGGAGGGGAGAAGGGAGGGTCTTATGGGGGGATACAAAGTGAATAAAGTGTAATTAATAAAAGTTAAATAAAAAATTAAAAAAATAACAATAATCAAGAAAAAATGAAAAGGACTTGGAAACAAAAGTGAATATAGGAAGAAGACAAAGCTAAAATAGAAAATCCCATCTTGGAGAAACGAGGCAGAAAACCCAGTGACAGCCACTACTATAAACTTTTTGCTGCCATTTTGATACAGTACATTCATTCTTAGCCTGTTAGCTTAGGGGTTATCAAAAACTCAGAGACCCTCAGGAAATCTTAGCTTCCAGTTGAATGTTTGTTGTGTCTTCTGGTAGATTCCCCAGGAGCCAAACTTCTAGGCTCTCAAAGCATAACATCATGGGAACAGGATTGATAGTGACTGGAATTGTTTCCGTTCCCACTCCTTGGCTCCTGGACTAGTGAATTTTGGTTAAAGGAGAACCAGTATCACATATTGGAAGCTGATTCAATGTACATACAAAATACAGGATATTGCAATCTAATTACACTTTAATTATGTCGTTAAAAGACCATTCTGTCATTCCATCAATCTAGATGCTTTAGGAAGGTGGTGGGCATAGGTAAAATGAGTAAATTCCTTGAGCATGAGTCTACTGTTATATTTCTCTGGTTATAGAATGAGTTCCTGATTACAAAAATGCTGTGTTAATAGATAAGGCAGTCTTTAATTCCACAGATTATAGTTTGGGCAGAAGCATTATTTTCAGGAAAAAGTAAATCTATAACCAGTATGGACAAAACACTGTCCTTTCTCTGATGGAAATAGTATAACATAGACAACTCAATACTAAGATGTTGACTGGTTACCCTGGGGAATGATGCCATATCAAAGGCTTCGTTCAAGTGGTGGTGTCTGCTGCTGGCAGGTCTGGCACTCGGCAACAGCAGCAGTTGCCACATCAGCCCTGTTGATTGGGATCCCAGGCTGTTGATGCCTTGAATAATATCAATCCCTGTCACCATGGCCACTTTGTTCATGGGCCTGTTGGGCAATGATAGAGATAAATAGACAAAGGAAGAGGATATCTAGAGAACAGGCCACCCAAGCTATTTGATTACTGAATTCCTACTCTGCTAAAGTTAACCTTTGGTGCATTATATCAGACACAAGTATCATCATATTATCTGCCCATTTGGAGAGATCTATCCACTTAGTCCCCCCCCCCAATATATTTCTTATCTATGGATTTAAACAAGAATGATTGAAAAATTGTTTACTTTTACAGTTCAAAGCTCCAAAATCTTTCCACAATCCTCCCCCAAAGAAACATGAATAGGTCAATCACAGAAACCTGCATACTAATTTCTGTTCTAGTTTGTTTCTCTATTACTGTGATAAACACTGATCCAAACCAATTTGGGGAGGAAAGGGTTTAGTTAGCTTACAGGATAGAGACTATCATAAAGGAAAACCAAGGCATGAAGGAACTCAAGTCGGAAACTAGAGGCAGAAAGTGAAGCAGAGACCATAGAAGAAAAGTACTTAATGGCTTGCTCTCCATTGCTTGCTCAGTTTGGTATTTTATACAATCCAGGACTACGTGCATAGGTTGGTCCTCCCACATCAATTATTAATTAATCCAGGACAATCTGATGGAGGAAATTCCTCAATTGATCTTTCTGCCCAGATGATTCCAGTTTATGCTAACTTGACAAAAAAATATAACTGGAACATCAAGCAAAGCCCTTCTTCACAAAATAGACTAAAGACCATAATCCTAATGGGGTTTAATGTATGACTGGAACCATTTCATTTTACAGCTGTCCAAAAGAAGCAAAATCAATTGCATTTGCAAAAATGGATCAGCCACTTTACCAACACCTATGAAATCAAAGTGAATATTCAAAAAGTACACTTAAATGACTGATTTTTCCTCATGAGCAATGCTTTTAGAGATCATAAGGAAGGTCAAAGAAACAGCTTGAAAATTGCATGTTAGGCCTAATGGTCTTAAGTTTTTAAAAGTTTTATTATTATTATTATTATTATTATTATTATTAATTACAATTTCTTCACTTTGAATCCTGGCTGTAGCTCCCTACCTCATCTTCTCCCAGCCTTTCTCTCCCCTTTCTCTTTCTCCTCTATGTCTCTCACTTAGTTCACTGACAAGGGAGGTTCTCCTCCTCTACTATCTGATCCTAGCCTATCAGGTCTGCCTTAAGTTTTAAAGGGTCCTAATTATTTTTCTGATTTACAGTCAAAAATTGAGAAAAAAGGAAGAATTGCTCCTAATAATGACAGGAAAATAACTACTGTTCTAGAAAATAAACTGGCTGTTGGTCAAGCTGGTATCTTGTTTGGGCTAGTTTTCCTTCTACTATTCCCACTATGCTTAAGAGCATTTGTCAAGCCAACAGTTGGGGAGTTTTCTTCAAATTAGCGTCAGTGCTTACTCACAAATAAGCTCTGCCTCAGTGGCACGGTATTTAATCTGAAGATTAGAATCCTCCATGTGTATGAATACATTTCCCCTTGATTATTCCAACAGCTGCATTTTGATGATCTGCCTGGGGAATAAATGTCAATGGATAGAATGCAGACAGCTCATCTCATTGGTGAATAATGTGCTGTGTGGTTTCAGTATGTGGAAAGGAGTCTCTTATATCCTCTTAGTCTGTAACGATTTCCAGGGAAGAATGAGTGATTAAGCCTGCTGACACTTTTTCTGAAAAACAAACAAACAAACACCACCACCAACAACAAAAACAACCCATGCCATTGACAGTTGCTCCAAGTGACTTATTTTGGGAATAATTTGTCCACAATATAACATGACAGATTATAAAGTTGTCCAACTGTTCCTTTGTTTTTCTGTTTGTATTCATCAGTACTGTCAGTGTTTCAGTGAAAATTTCAAACAGCAAAGGAACATGATATTCAGTTCTAAGGTCTTTGTAATTCCCAGTCAAGGAACAAAACATCTTTCCTTCACATCAAAGTAAACCATAGAGTTGCACAGGGACACATTTTGGACAATATGACTGGTTGCATCAGATACCAAATTGTACATGGATATAGGAATGGCTTAGCTAAAGAGATCAGGTTAGAACTAATAGAACATGTCCAGTCATTTCAAGAATCTCTGAAGGATCAAATTAGAAAAAAATATAGCAACTGTTTTTCATTTATGTAACTGGATACAAATTTGGAGAGACCTGAGTTTCAACAGTTTACAGAAGTAGAATTTACATTTGATGGCCAAATTCTTTTATACACTTAGGGCTACAAATTAATGTTGCCTGCTCTCTAAATTAAGAATTCTCAACATCATATAGAGGAAAAGTTGCTGTTGGTAAAATTCCACACCCCTTCTGTATTATTTATATGCCCTCTAAGAGTGGTAGAACTGTCTTCCTTCGGAGTCTCACCAGGTAGAAGCTTCGTGAACATATCACATGTGAGAAGTGCACACCTGTATGTGAAACGGATGCCTGCATATGTGGTATTAATACAGCTTTATTTCTTTAGTGGTTAAGTTCCTTCACAAATAGCTGATGCAGTCTGGAACAAATTTTTTTGGTATCTTTGACGAAAGTGGATTCAGTTCATACATTCACAATGGCTACCTTTTTTATTTTTGTAGTTCACATTTGTGTCTTGTAGTAGGTTGCTATAAAGATGATCTCCACTTGTTCACCAGTTCTGATCCATGTGCTTGTACAGTCACATACTACACTACCTATGTTTCAAGCTATATACATGTAGTTAGACCAGAGATCGGAAAACTGCTTATCTATTGAGACTTTCACTATTTCATTGTCTGTAGGTGTCCGGTGAAGGATGCCAGTGAAGAAATCTGCTAGTCTGTTGAATAAAAAGAATCATATGGCTCAGCCATCCCTATTGTCACAACTGACAGCCATCACTGCACCTGATACTTTAATGAGGCTGTCTTGGCAAATAACCAATTACAAACTCACCATCACAGCATAAACATATTACAGTAGATGGAAACAGCCCAGATGTCCCTCAGTGAAGGAATAGATACAGAAATTGTGGTACATTTAAACAATGGAATCCTACTCAGCAATTAAAAACAAAGAAATCATGAAATTTGCAGGCAAATGGTAGGAACTAGAAAAGATCTTCCTGAGTGAGGCATCACAGAAGCAAAAAGACACACACACAGTATATACTCACTTATAAGTGGATACTAGACCTATAGTATAGGAGAAACATACCAAAATCTGTGCACCTAAAGAAGCGAAGCAAGAAGGAGGTCCCATAGGTAAGATGATCAACCCTCACTCAGAAAGACAAACAGAATGGACATTGGAAGAAGGAGAAAGCAGGAAACAGGACAGGAGCCTACCACAGAGGGCCTATGAATGACTACCCAGCAGTGTATCAAAGTAGACACTGAGACTCATAGCCAAACTTTGGGCAGAGTGCAGGGAATCTTATGAAAGAAGGGGGAGATAGTGGGACCTGAAGAGGTCAGGAGCACCACAAGGAGAGAAACAGAACTGAAAAATCTGGGCCCAGGGGTCTTTTCTGAGACTGATATTCCAACCAAGGACCATTCATGGGTATAACCTAGAACCCTTGTTCTAGATGTAGCCCACGGTAACTCAGTATCCAAGTGGGTATCCTAGTAAGGGGAACAGGGACTGTCTCTGACATGAACTCAGTGGCGGGCACTTTGACCAATAACCTCTGAGTGGGGAGCAGCCTTGCCAGGCTACAAAGTAGGACAATATAGCCAGTCCTGATGAGAGCTGATAAGATAGGGTCAGATGGAAGGGGAGCAGGATCTCCCCTATCAGTGGACTTGGAGAGGGGAACGGGAGGAGATGAGAGAAGAAAGGTGGGATTGGGGGAGAATGAGGGATGGGGCTACAGCTGGGATACAAAGTGAATAAACTGTAATTAAAATAAAAATGTAATTAAAACATATTACAGTAGAACTAAGGAGACAATAACCCATAAGCCTCAGACTTTACATTTTAATATTTCATATATTTTTGAATACACTATTTTAATTATGTCCATTTTTTTTGTTTGTTTGTTTGAGAGCAGGTCTCATGTAACACAAGATGACCCATGTCCACTATGTAACTGAGGATGCCCTTGAGTTTCAGGTTCTCCTGTTTCTATTTTCTCAATGGTAGAAGTACATTCATGCATCACCATGTCCTTCTTTCCATTTTCAAATGAAGCATCTGCAGGAATTTAGGGAAAAGAAGTTGTCTACAATATGAAGTTGATATCAAATTTAGGTATAAAAATTATCTGATTAATTCTCCCCAAATTAGTATATTTCAAAGTATATTTTGCTTATATAATACTTCTCTATATAGTCATTAGTATTCTACTGTAGGAGGTGATGTGAATGCAAAGAATCCTCAACTAGTTCTATCACTTCAGACATGGGAGAAATTACATCGTACTTTAATTATTCTATGCCATTTCTTTCAGTAATAAGTCAGTCATTCCTAAGTGTTCATTTCTAAATTGTCAACTCACATCAGTTCTTGTAGAGAAAAATGTAAGAAAGGTATTTGAAATCAGAATATTAAAATTTATCTGCAAGAAAATAACCTTTTATTACCTATGAAACTGGGTGGTTAGACCTAGAATTACTTGGGAATACAAAGGCATTTTGAGGAAAAATGGCTTCTTTAATTTGAAAAATGTGAGGAACCCCCACCAAGTTCATTCTAGTTAGCTTAGGACAGGAGAAACCCCAGATCCAAAACTAAGATGAATCAAGAGAGCATAAAATGGAACAAATCACACACTCCTAATATTATATAAGTCTTTGGCTGGCTCTTCTAAGAGCTGAAATGAAGTGCTTCCTTTAGTGCTATGTACTAAGTAGCTCATTTCACCTTTCCAGTGAGGTGTGAACAAATGGAGACCATTGCTACACAGACCTTGAGGCCTTAAGGTGAACTATACAAGTAGAAAATGTCTATGATGAATATATCATAGGAACTGAATGAATTTTAGTTAAAAGGCAACCAGCGAAAGGGTGTCTCTTCGCTGGCCTTAAGAGTCATTTGGCTGACCCCAGAATTATGAGTCAAACAAATGGTTGTTACAAATCACAAAGTTTGAGGGTGATTTTTTGTGTAGTAACAGATAACTAACAATTTCCTTTATTTCCTTTTTAGGAGAGCAGACTAAACCATGAAGGAATCTAACGGTAAATCCAGTCAAGTTAATTAACTCCCTGACAACAGATCCTCTGACGTGGCGGTAAAGTAAAAGTTCCCCACAAAATCCACAGATTTCAAGTCATCCTTATTCTTGATTTGCTGAAGATGGCATGCTATTCTTTAGAAAGAGTGGTATGAGAGGGCTGGAGGTGTGACATAACTTTTTAATTAAAAATTTTATTACTTTTCAGCAATGGAGAGTTTTCCATTACTGTCCTCATACATGGCTGCTTTTCATAACAGCACTTGCTACACCTGACAAGTCCTAATGAGCACGTATTCACAATCTTGGCCTTCTCAGCAACATTCATTAACCTCTGGAATGAAACTGATTCCCTTTGCTGCCTAGACCTACAGTAAACATAAGGATTGTTTGGCTTAAGTGAACATTTGTGTCTTGTCAGCTGTCTCCCTGGTCATCTTGTATTATGAAACTCAGGGACGCTAGATTAACTTGACTCAGGCTCCGTTTATTTCATGAAAGAAAAAAAAAGTGAAGCACAATAATATCAATTATAATTTTAAAATCTCTCTCTCAAGAAAATGGTAATATAAATTATATTTAAAGGATATATACCTAGTTTATCTTTTCACTGTGAATTTCAAATAAGATGGTGCTCTTTTTGAAAGAAAAGTTTTCTTAAATGTCAGATGCATCCCTTTGTTTTTTGTATATAGAACTGAATAAAGGAAATGAAAGTAGAGTGGAAACTAGTAAGCAATAGGAAGGAAAAAGTTTAGAATAGGGTTAAGGATAAGTGAGAAGTGGTGCTAAATATGATAAGAATATTTCACATTCATGTATGAGCCTATCCAAATAAATAATCTGTTTTGTAGAATTAATTATGGGATAATAGCAAAAAGCTGACCTAGAGTTCCCTTGGCATCTAAGCAGCTTCTATGCTTTGATGGTTTTGAATTTCTTGTAATTCATCAGTGCTTGGCTTTTGTTTTAATTACATCAGGAAAAGAACTGAACAAGTGATCACATCCTAGTAACTTAGAAACTTAAAGGCTGTTCACCTTTTGTGTTATATGAAGACTGTTCTTTTCACATGGCTTTCCCCATCCTTCCCTCTTTTAGAGGTTTTCTTATGTCTTATGTTTAATCTTTTTCTAATCGAGCCTTCCTGAAATTATCTTCTCCCTGCAAAAGGGGGCTAACTGCTTCTTGGTTTGCTTTCAGACAATTCTAGTTCTATGTCTATAATATGTATGAACCTGTGGTTGCTTACATATATAATATACTAAAGCATATGTTTCTTAGGAATGAAATTGTGTCTCATTTTGCTTTGTTTCCTGAGCATAATCATTAGATATAATATCTGCTCAGTAAATTTGGCAGACAAAATACATGTATGATTCATGCAGGAAAGGGGCTGAGATGAATCCCGAGAAATATATAGCCCTTTAGGGAAAAATAATAGAGAACTAAAGAGAAAAAAAAACCACTTTGAAGAGTCTTTTGTAAAACAAGACTGTTTTCAGTCTCTAGCTCCAAATCATACTAACAGTGTAGGTGACCTTAGGCAAATTATACAATCTCGTGGTAACTCTGATCTTTTTCACTTCTCATGGTGCCTCATTCATAGTAAACACACACTAAAAAACCCAGTAGTCTCTTTTAGTGGTGGTAGTAGGAGAGACAGAAACCACAGTATCTGTTGGGCTTTTTCTATATGAAGTCAATTTGTACTCTGCTGGCTCAATACACTGGGGCAGCAGTGACAAATCGAGAGTTCTGCTTTCAGAGGAAGTGTAAAAGTTTTCTGAAAAACTTTCAGTATCTTCTCTCAAAAGCTGCATGACTATAACAATCATCTAGGGTTAGATTATATTGCACTTTGAACAACGTGTCTGACTATATAATTAGGCTTTTTTGTGCTTAAAACAATTATCAACAGGCCAGAGAATTTTTTACATCAACAGCCTAGAACTGCACTGAAGTGGTTGAGTGTTGTCCTTCCAAGTAGCAACCTGGAGGAAAAGTGTGTACACTAAAGTGGCAGCTATTGCCCAAATATTTTGGACTTCTTTTAGGAAGCAAACCTTAAGAACGGGTTTATGAGCCCCATAAGCAACTATGTTCTTTCTTTATGTTTCGATTCAAGTTGTACACACCCTGTTTGATGAACATACCCTCTGTCATCTGATCCCTGCCATCGGCCCTGGCCTTTGGCCTCAGTTCCACAGCATAGTTTCCAAAGAACCCAGCTTCTACTGTGACAGGCTTTTTAATCAGTAGGGAGAAAGTTTTTTTTTTTTCTCTTATACATACACTGAACGGTTCTGGGAGTGGAGAAAAGCTGTATGTTGTCACCTATTAAACCTTGTGGTATTGGATTAACTATTTTAAGAATGGAAAATTTCTTTAAGTATTTTTACTTCATTTTTGGTAATCAGAAGATATTTCTTTCACTTTTGGTTTTAGACTACCATCTTCAACTTCAAAAACCAATGTATGTCATTGTAACAAAAATAAAGCAGTGTGGAGATGGGGAGATGGCTCAGCTGGCAAAATCCCAAAGACTCAAGTTCAATCCCTTTGTCCCACATGGTGAAATGAAAGAAGTAACTTCTGCAAGCTGTTTACTCCCCTACTCTCTCTCTCTCCCTCTCTGTCTCTGTCTCTTCTTTTTTCTCTCTCACACAGTGAATTTTAAAAAGTAAAACAGTGTATACACTAAAAAATTATTTCACCTCTTTCTTCTCAAATGATATTTCTCAATGTTAATAAATATTGTTAGTCTTATGTATTTATTTCTGTACATTTCTTATGTGTGTACACGTATAAAGGTATAGTGCCTTTTTGTTTTAAAGATAAATCACACATATACACAAACACATACATATGTCTTCAATTTATTTTTTACCTCAAATAGTCCCCAAGTAGTCCTAAAGTTTAATTACTCTACATTTACTTCATGAAAAATATCTGAGGTATATTCCACTAGATAGACATAAGCTAATAAATTTACCATTCTCTTAGCAGTGACTTTTTGTTTAATTTTTTTGGAGTCACTATGTATTATAGTGCATCTCTCTCTCCCATCCCATCCATCTATCTATCTATCTATCTATCTATCTATCTATCTATCTATCTATCTATAGCATTCCTTAACTTTTACTTTTAATTTTATAGAATACATGCCCTACAATGAGAATGTTTCCTCAAATGGGTTTAAGATTTTTGTAACTTCTTTATTTTCAGAATAGAAAAAAAATTAAGTCATGCAACAATTCTATGAGCAACACTGGAATGAGGAAAAATGAGGAAAAATTGTTAAGAAGTCAGTGAATAAGAGACTACATTTTCTAGAACTGCCTCTGTAAGAGGCTAATTGTGAAAGGAATAAAGGAGGCACAGGAGTCCAATGGCTAAGCATAAGGACATTCTCTGTCACGATCTTTCTCTGTGAGTTTGGACAAATTATAACCTTGATGTCATCACTAGGTAAAGTAGGGGTTAACATAGTGCACAAAGTCCAAGTTTGTATAGAAAACAGACTATGATTATACACCTCAAAATGCTTAGTACAGGGTTAGGTTTACTATGACTTCCTTTTATTCTTAAGTATCTTTTGGAAATTAGATTGTACAGGTAACCTATTTGTACATCCAACCTACTAAGGTAGCAGAGTCTACTACCACAAGGGAAGTAGAAAAGGAAGCAGATGTTATGACATTGTGAATTTTCTCTTTCTATCAGCTAGTAATAACAGCGAGCTTATACCTCTGGAGAACACTTTGGAAAATAGAGTGCAGTGTTAGAAAAGACACTTAGGTTCCAGTCTGAGTTAACAATGATTTCTATTGATTTTGCACCTTTGTGAAAGTCACTTAATTTGTATCACAGTCTATAAAATGAGACTCATGGGATGGCCAACCTGCATTGCCTATTTTGTAAAGCATAGCAAAGGAAAGCTGCGCAAACTGCCACTACTAGACTTACTACTAGATTTACTTCAGGGATGAGATCAGTGGTGATCACTGTGGCTCCAGATGCATGAGTGGATGAAGAAATGATCCCTGATTTGGTGAGTCCAAGGTTGTGACCAGTAAGGCATCAGGATCTCAGTGATGAAGACTAGCTTGCATATATTATAGACATGATTGGTGGTAAGAAACATACTGGATTTGTAGGTACCTTCTAGATCTCTGGGTAATTTTTTCAATATAATTAGTCTCCCAAACAGGAGTGTTTTCTTTAGATTGGTAGGAGAGTTCTAATGAAATAGAAGTACTTCATGATCTACTGTTCAGGTCTCTGGCTTATATAACTTATTACTTTTCTTAATATAGACTGGCAGAACCCCTGGAAATTCAAATGTATTTAGTTCACAATATTTAAATGGTTGCAAAAAAAAAAAAACATGTATTATTTTTTTTTTACTAACCTTCCTGAAGGCAGTCTTCAGGAAAGACAATACTTACAGGAAATAAAAGGCTGATGAAAAAGATTGTCGGGGCAGGAGAAACTTCTTAAACATCCCTAAAATCAGATCAGAAAAGTGACTTTCTCCTTATTTTAGAAAGTAGACCAGGCACAGGCTCAAATTAATTTTTCCATTGCCTGTTGTTCCCAGACACACATATTAACAGAAATCATGTGACTGGCCCTTGTCTGTAACATTTTGGCTGGATGTTGAGCTTCCCAGCCTTGGAACTACCCACTATTTCCTTCATCAGTAGCCTTCAGTATTCATCTTCCAACTGGTCTAAATGCTTGATTAGAATAGTGGAAACAGCATTGGTCTGGGAATTGAGGCCCAGAGGCCCTGTTTGTGCTACTGACTCACTCTGACGTAAGACAAACCATGACCCCCTTTTGAAGCTCAGTTTTCTCATCTGTTACACAAGGCATTGGAACTGGGGTGATCTCAGAGTTCAGGCTATGGTTTTACTTATGTTTCTTCACCTTTCACTTCAGAGTCATCCTCATTTCATCTTCTTTCATGGAGCTCATCCATTTAGGCTAATTGCAGGATGTTGGAGAGCTGTCCAGGAACATCTGAAACATTGGAAGATTCATTTGAAATTAATCAGACATAACAGAAAATGCAGGTGGTTGCTCTTTCCCTTCGACTCCTGGCCCTCGGGATTTTGCATTCTGGAAGGTGTTCACAGGCCACCAGCTGCAGAGCACAGTTTGTGGATTGTTGCCCAGAAGTGCAACCTCTGCAAATGGGAGGGGCGAGGGCAATACACTCACTTGGTTGGATCTTTCCTGAGGGGTGAGGAGTGAGAATGTTGGTGGGAAGGGGTAGAGTGTAGGGGTCAGAGAATCCAGACATAATGACAGTATGACCTGAGGTCACAGCCTTTCTTTCTTGACCCCTGGTTTTCTTGTAAGAGGATTTGCTTGGACTGATGTCATAAAGAAGACTTTCTCATGTTCTACCCTAATCTTCCAGAGGTTTCCAACGATGCTGGTGCCTGGGGTCACACAGACATATATTCATATGGTGGTCTGGAATGTTTTTTGCTTCTCATCAGCATGTGATACTCCCACATGCCTCCACTGCCTCAATGAATTCTGCTATTCAGCTGGACTTTCCTTTGAGCATTCAAATTTTGGAGACTTTAGTACGTGTTGCTGTCAACTCAACTCATCATTTTCTCTGGGGAATCATTTCTCTTTTAAAATCCATTTCAAATGTACATTCTTTGTGAAATCTCTTGCTATATTTTTGTACACCAAGTTGTTTACTTCCTCGTTTATGTTTCCATAGATTCTAGGAATTCTTGTAGCCATTAGGCTGCAAGTTTTACAAACACAAGAACCACAGATTTTGGTGTTAAGATGATGCTAGTAACAGATAAATTAAAAACACTCAATTTCAATATTTTAACAGGTAAACTTCCTATTATTCACAGATAATTGAGTTAGTTATAGCAATGACATTTGGTAGTGTTGTGTATTGCACTATTTGAAGCTATTCAGGTCTCATACTTATTCATTTTTAGCATGTATTTTCCAGATCTCCTCAAGTATCTATATAGAGCTCACTAATGGGAGAAAAAAGATGAGATACTGCATCTTGGGCTTTTTTTTTTTTAATAAAGTTTTATGTGTATGGGTGTTTTGCTTGAGTGTTTATGTGTACATTATGTGTACACTGCCTGCAGAAGCCAGAAGAGGACATTGGATCCCTTGGGACAGGAATTACATGTAGGTGCTGAGGACCAAACATTGACCCCCTGGAAGAGCAGCTGGTGCTCTTAAGTACCAAGCTGTCTCTGTAGCCCTCATTATTTATTTATTTATTTATGTATTTATTTGGCAACCCTGAAAGTGACACATGCAACTTATGCTCAGTTTCTGTTGGCTGGAACTCAATAACGTAATCATATGTAGCTTCCAAGAAAGCTGGTAAATTCATTCTGGTTGGTTACTGCTAAAAAGGATAGGAAGGATTTTGGTAAACACACCTAGAAGCCAGGCTTCTTTAGTCACAGCTAAATAGTGAATACTACACTGACTACTACACTGAACATAATGACTAGGATGTAATGTCTGCTTTGGATTATGCTTAAAATTTTACCCCTGAACTGTGAGCTCATGATTTAGTATCTTTGTACTCTCATCAAGCAATCAAGCATAGGCTCAGTGGATATTGTTTAGTAATTTTTGGCATAGTATATATTAAAAAAAACCTACTGGGGGGAATGTCTTCTAAGGACAAGAGAGTCCCTAGGAGATAGGATTTCTTCATATTTACTTTTTTTTTTTTTTTTGCCTTACCCAAAGCCCCTGATCTCCACAGATCTTTGCCCTGGCTTTAGCTAAAGTACAGACTTTCCTGCTTCTCAGAGTTTGAGAATTTAAGCATATTTCTTATTAAGCTAGAGAAGATACTTTCTGGAACACTGAGCCTCTTTCTGTGTGAAAGCCTGTCTTATTCCTTTATTTTCTTCATAAATATGGACTCCATTTTTATAGACTTAGCTTTTTACTTTGCCAGCTACAAGTAAGTTTTAGCTACTTCTTTCCCCATTATTTCTCTAGGCATAGAAGTAGAGGTAAATGATAGAAGGGAGATATAAATATCCATCCGGTATTAATGTTACAAATGTCTGACAATGCTTGTTTCTACGTTATCCTGGTGTAACACAGCCTAATTGCAGCGGTTTAGCCATTCAGCATCTTTGTTACTTAGAGATACGTTTCTGGAACCACAAAGAAGACGTTGACTAATAGTGGCCTGGAAATGAGCTCTTGCACCTGTCAGAATCCAGAAGATCTCAACATCTAAAGTTCTGTTCAACTACATAGTACTCTTTCTTGGAGACCGTTTCACTGTGAAAGAAAGAGATGTCACAGCATGGAGGATGATTACAATACGCCAATGTTTCTGACCATGTCTAGAGAATTATGTAACATGGGGAAGGTAGGCGATTTGGCTAAGCAAGACAAAAGATTTAGGTCACAGTGACAGTGACCTAAATTTCAGACGAAATTAGAAAACTTGCTCTACCACTTTAGATGTTGTTGGTAATATGAAAAGAGAACTCCAAATGGATTACAAATGTAAATGTAAAATATAATTCTGTAAAAGTCACAAGTGGTAAGCTATTCCAATTAGGAATAGGAAAAAGTGCGTAGACTTGATCCATAAAGAAAAACTTGACACATTAAATCTAATCAAAACCTACAAACCACATAGCCCACAAGAAGCTAGATCTGGAGTATACAAAACCATTCTTCAAACTCAACAGTAAAATGAAGAGACAATGGGGAAAAGACACCAAGAACATTTCACTAAAAAGAAAATACAGTAGTTAAGTAGGTGCATGAAATACTATCAAACAAAATTAAGCATCAGGAAATGGGAATTAAGAACACAGTGACTTATCACCTTTTTATTAAAAAAAACCTCTAAGAATGGTTAAAATAAGTAGTGGGAAAACAAATAGCAGCATATATGTAGAGGAACTGTGTGATTGTTACTTTGCTTGTGTTAATGCACAATTAAGTATTGTATGGCTACTCTGGAGAATAGTATGACAGTTTCTTAGAACGCTAAATATTATGATATTCTCTTATAGAATCATAGTGCCAGTTACAAGAACTTAACCTGGTTACAACTGTTTTATCCAATCAGTTGCTGTCTGGACTTTTCAGTTGACCCTGAAATTTTCTTGATGACATTTTCCCCTTTCAGCAGATGTTTTAGTATTGACATTAATTCACTGCTGTGTCCCTTCTGATTTTTTGAACAATGTCTCATCCTTTCTTTGTCTTTTAAATTATTGACAGTTTTTTTAAAGAATACAGTGACTACTATATACCACATTCCTGTTCCTGAAACTCATATTCTGAAATCTTTACACTCAGTTAAGTGGGACTTAATACAATAATAAAGGGTCTTCATAAGAACAAGTCACTATCTAACCCTCTGCATATACCTGAGATCAGAGGAAAAGACTTGTAAGGACACAGGAAGTAGGAAAGCATGTTCTAGCAAAGAGAAGTGGCATTCTTAGGAAGCAGCTAACCAGGTTTTAATGTTTGATGTCAAGCCCCCAGAACTATGAGGAATGAATACCTGGTATGTAACATCATCCCCATTTGTGACATTTTGTTACAACAGCTTCAACAGGAGGGGGTAGAAAGAATGGAAGTGCCAGAGGCATTTTTCAAAAAGCTGTCTTCTGAATATCACATGGCTATTGTACTCATGGGCTCACTGCAGCTGCGGTTAGTTGTAGAAGAGCTGCATAAGACTGAGCCAGTAGGTTCCAAACTCTTCCAAAGTGACTATTGATAGTTGATGGTAGAGGAAGAATACTTGTCACTTTCTTCAGCAATAATTACAGATTAGCTGCCAATGCTCCATAAACAACTACCCACCAATGCCCATGCCCACGTCCATGCAAGCAACCCTAATTAAAGTCAGTCAGACACACACACACACACACACACACACACACACACACACACACAAAACACTATGAAATCAGGGGTTGTTTAGGGAAGAAGAATAGTTATAGCAGCAGAAGGTCAGGTAATAAGAGAGGATAATAGGGATAGAAGGAACCAAAATTCACTATTTACATTTAGGAAACTACCAAACAACAAAAAATAAATTACTGCCCATTTGTGTTGTCTTTACTATTTCCCAATTAGTAATGTTAAGATATCATAAATGATGCTGAGTTTTCCTCAAAATATATGGAGGCACACAGTGCTCATCATTTCTTCCTAGATGATGCTAATTGTGGATACACAATATGAAGTTTGGAGAGTGGCACTTTGATGCCATGTGAGTACCTTGAATCTTGTCATACTAGAATCTTCACAGTCTCAAGTCTCACCTAACTGTCAACCCTTAAAGTTGCCTCCTTCAACCATGCCTAGCAAGAATGGTCTCCTTTGCTTTTGCTCTCAGCTGTACCCTTGTTTATTTTATTCATAGTCTTTTTGCTCATTTGTGTTGATCTATTAATTTCCATGTTTGTTATTGTCTGTAGCAGATGCCCTTGTCTTAGTTATATATGACTGAGCCCTGGTCTCCAAAGCTATTCTCTGTCTCTTGGTCTTGTCTTTTACAGGTCACAGTTATTTTTTCTTCAGTCTGCATAATTCCACAGAAAGGAGAAGCAGTTATACAAGGAGAAAGTCCTGAGCCAAAAAAAAGTAGAGTTCAGAATCCTACTGTGAATAATATGTAGAGCTGGGAGTAGGGACAGCTTCAGACCACAGTCATAGTTTGTGTTAACTCATGACCTTTGAATTACTTTTATGCTGGAATGAGCATATTACAAAGTTCTAGCCTCACTGAATGGGATTTGATTGATGAGTGCTAAGGTGCAGGAGATAACAAGTAGAGAGGAGAGATTATCATGATAGTTTTCTAAACACACATGTTCAGAGAGTACTTGCTATGGAATATAGTTGATATTTAACAGCTTTACGAAGGCTTTCCTTATTGACTGCTAAATGGTATACTCACAGTAGATGTTTGTCCATACTGCCTCTACCTAAAAATAAAGTATACTCCTTTCCTCTTTCAAATCAGGCTCAGGGATGGGGCTTACTTGGACTAATGCATTCTGAACAGAAGTGGAATGTGTGACATCTATGGAGAGGCTTGAAAAACACAGGACTTGCTTTACTAATGTTCATTTTCCACATCCTGTGTTGACTTGCGGCATTGCTTTATCAGCTACAATCCCAGAATGAGAACAATTAATAACTCCTATGATCATATGCCTAGCCAGTGCTCTGCCACTACAATAGGTAGTGCTCTGCCACCACAATATGTAGGGCATGAGGTTTACGTGAGAAACAAACATTTACTACAGGCCACTAAAACTTTGATACCACTTCTTACTGCTGTGTAACCTAGCTCATCCTAGCTTGTAAAGCTTCCAAAGATTCCTGAAGAGTGTTTATAAGCAATGATTTGTAGCTGGTACAAGGTAACTCTTCTGTGAATTTTGGCTGAGGGACTAACTTAATTATTGCTTTGATTGTATGAATACTGAAAAATTGCAAGTCAAAGGGCATAAGTCTAGGTGCGAGAGGTGACCCTTCTTCTTAAAGACAAAGCACTTTCTGTGGCTAAGCCTTGCTCCCTGGGTAATGAGGGGGAACCTCTGAGCCACCCCCTGAGGTCCTAGTTGAGTGGCTGTCAGTACTTTATGGAAAGTATATTGTAAATCTTCACTTTCTCTCATCATAAACCAGTGTGAGAGTTGGCATCTGTGCTGCAAGTGGAATTTTCTGCTTTTAGAGATTTGACACTTTGGCCCTTCTGTTACAAATCCAGTTTTAATTTTCTTAACATAGTCCAGGCACAGCACATAAACCCCCGTACCCTGGAAAGAGTTGTATGGTCACTTCCATTACAGGATTTTTGTTTCACTTTGCTGAATTTGATTACAAGCGTTGCAACAAGAACACAGGCGATTTCCTTGTCTGGCAGCTCAGGACCAAGGGAAACGAAGCTGTTGGAGCACACATTAATTGGTGAACTTGAAAAATATTGAATGAGAAGAGTCACAGCACATAGGTAGAAAACAAGGAGCTATTGGCCAGTACATTTCCTAGATTCACATTTGACATTTTCAGAGACCTTTTTATTTTAAAAAATTGGTAGTAAAAATTAAATGTTTAAAAAATTATTCAAAAGATATATGTCAGTCTTTATTTTACTTAACCCTTCAGTCTTCAGCATTTCATGTTTGTCTTCTTTGAAATACCTCTTTCTCTTGGCTTTTGTGATAACCCCCCTTTTTTCATCTCATAAAATCATCCTTATTTCATCTTTGATTTCTCTTCTTGTTGAATCATTTTGTATGCCTAGTTGTTAAATGCTGAAATTCACCACCACTCTACTCTATCATCTGCTCTTTTTCTTACCCTATACTTGAGTAATTTTACCAATTTCCATTACTTTAGCTACTGACAAAACTTCACATGGATAGATTGCCATGTGTATCTAGAATAAAAATTGATGCTCCATAAGCATATCTTCTTTTGAGATAAGTTTTAACTATGTAACTCCAGCTGGCCTTGAACTCAGGATCCTTCTGCTTCAGTCTCCTGAGTACTAAGCAACACTGTGTCTTAATTCTCCACAGACACAATTCGTTATTGCCAGTCTCCTACTTCACTTTATTTGCTTATATCACTCAAATATCATCATATCTATACAGACCTCACATTTTACTCATCTATAAACTTACGCTTTTCCTTCAGCCTGAAATGTTATCTTCTCCATGTGGAAATTTGCTGTTCATCCTTCAGAGCCCAGAACTGATGTCACCATCTTTGTGAAGCTTTCCATGCTATTCCTCATAATAATTACCTTATTCATCTGTGCTCCCATACCATATATGCATATATTGCCCAAAGCGTTCATCACTTTATAAAAGGGAATTTTCATGTTTGTTTTTCTATTACACTTTTATAACAAATTGATTTTGTCATGTTTGTTTTTCCATTAAACTTTAAACTTCTCTGTAGCAGGTACTTATTAACCTTTCTTCCTCTAAGACTCAACAGCATGCCTGACACAAAGTTGGCTTTTGATGCAGACTTGTGTAATGAACAAATATGGAATGGGTTAGAGATTAAGTAGGTTTAAAGGGAGATGGCTAAGAAATAATACATTTCTTTAAGTTACTATTAATCCTTTACATTTTTATGGCCCTTTAAACTTTGAAACCATAACCAGGCACATTATTTTATATTATTTTATACTCTCATTAACAACAACCTTCCAAGTTGGGTGGAGTAGGAATTATTTCTTGCCTTGTACAAGAGACCAGAGAACAAAATACTCCAGAAGATCTGGTGATGTAGTCATGGAATTATGATCAGAACTTCGTCTTTTAGATTTCTCTACAGTGCTCTTGAAGTTTCCAAATGAGAATGATAGCCTTGTTTTGAGTTTGAGATTAATTTAAAGTAGATATTATTTTAATTACTATAAACATAAGAATTTAATTGTATAAAATATAGATAATTAATTTAGCTACTCGTAGAGTGCCGGGAGCCAAAGCTATCTACAGAAGTCAGAGCCAAAGCTTATCTAGTGAGGACAAAGCTATCTACTGAAGCCTAAGTCAATTAGTGAGTCAAAGCTATCTAGTGGAGACAAAAGGTGTTTGCTCAGCCAAAGCCAAATAGTGAGCAAAGGTCATTTAGTGGAGACCTAAAGCTATTTAGTGAAAGTTATCTAGGACCCTAACTCATGCGTGAGAGACTGTGAGGACATCCGTTTGTTAGAGCATCTGTGAGAAAACATCCCTAAGTTATCTTGCAGGCACCCTATTTAACACATGAAAGCAGTCTTCCTGTCTCCTGCAGCAGCTAATTACCTTCCCCCTTTCTTGCCTTCTCCCTATATAAGTTGGGTAAAAATTTCTAATAAATGGAAGCCTTGATCAGATGAACAGACTTGGCTTTCATTTCTTGTGCTTCTTGTCCCCCCCCCCCCCCCAATTCCTTCCACTCTCCTCCCTTAGGAACCCCTTTGAAGCCCTGCTGGTCCAGGGCAGTAGAGGTTGTATTTTTAGGTCTCCATATAAGCAATATTATATGGACTCAGTAAGCCATATTTGGTAATATACATGTATATACAACTACATATATGCATCCATTACAATTGATGAAAAATCTAGGCCATGAATTTGGGAGAGGCCATGAATAGGAGAGATAAGAGGTTTATATGGCTGAGCATGGAGGGAGGAAAGGGAAGGGAAAATATTATAATTAAAATACAGCTTTGAGTAGGGGAAGATAGAAAAACCTGGAGGGGACAGGAGCTCCAAAAGAAGACCAACAGAGAAAAAAAAACTGGGCCCTGGGGGACCTTCTGAGACTGATACCCCAACCAAGGACCATGCATGGAGAAGACCTAAAAGCCCTACTCAGATGTAGCCCATATAATGCTCAGTTTTCAAGTGGATTCCCTAGTAAGGAGAACAGGGGCTGTATCTGACATGAATTCAGTGGCAGGCTCTGTAATCACCTCCCCCTGGGGGTGGAACCTTGCCAGGCCACAGAGGAAGACAATGCAGCCAGTTCTGATGAGACCTGATAGGCTAGGGTCAGATAGAAGGGGAAGAGAACCTCCCCTATCAGTGGATTAGGGGAGGGGCATAGGAGGAGAAGAGGGAGGGAGGGAGAGTTTAGGAGAAGACTGGAGAGGCCCACAGCTGGGATACAAAGTGAATAAATTATAACAAATAATAAATAAAAAACTTAAAAATATACACAAATTGAAAATAAACACAAAACATTTTTAAAAGGACACAGACAAATATTTCATGTTTACTTATAACTCATACAACACATAAAAGTATATTACATAGATTAATATAAAATATAAATATTACATATACTTATATATAATTTGAATGAAGTTATGCTACTTAGGAAAATAATGTTCTCCCCCAAAGCTACAGACTATCTAACAAAAACCCCAGTGCCAGGCATGGGAAACACCCTCCAGTTCTTGGTCAAGGAAGATGAAGAAACTACAAAATAATAGGTTTCTGCTGTTTATCTTGGTTATCACACACAGAACTTGAAAATTAATCCCTATTTTTGAAAGCACCACATGTTTCATACACAGAACTTGTAGGAATCAAACTGGATTTGACCTGGAAAACACTTACTTGAGGACTAGCTCTTAACAGTATTTCAAGATGCTATGCAAGATGCCAAGTGACAAAAGCAATCAGCAATCCTACCCAACTTTAAAACCTATGAACCACAACAATTACCAGTATGTAAAGATATCTGTATGGGTGCTAGGGGATAATCTAATTGGACTTAAGGCTCACTTGATAGGAGAGAATTCTTGTTTGGTACCGTAAACCTGGAAAACAACCTATGACTGGTGAGGTCATTAACCTTAGAAGAGAATCTACTGTTACCACTTTCCTAACTGCATAATTCCTAATTGTATTATAGATGCTTTTTCTTATATCCACTGATATTTGTAGCTTTTACTGCTAATTAGGAGAATCTTCTATTCAAAGCAGAGGTCCTTACAGAAAACCAGTCTAAGCTGATATATCTGTATCACAACCGTTATAGCTAAGTTTCAGAAAACATGTAAGAAGAGAAAGCAGAGAGATTATAAGAGTCAGAGTCTATTGTATGGGAAACCTTCACCCATACAATCTTACATAGTCAAGACCTGAACAATGTTAACACTAGCTGACATGTTAATGTGTGTGGGGAAAATTTTACAAGTCTCCATCCCTAGATGAAGAGCTAAGAGGGAGAATCAGCCTTCTCCTGATAAGTTATACAATTTCAGGTGGTCAGCCTAAACAGCATATATGAGCAACAACAAATGGACTCAGCATAATAATTAAAATAATAAAAAAACCAGACTATGAATTTGATAGATGGGGTATGGATGGAGTTTTGTGGATGAGACAGAAGTGTGTAAATGTTATAAATATAGTACTCACACATGGAATTAAAAAAAGTAAAGTTTTAAATTATTTTTTTGTTATCTTGTGAAGACAGATTTCACTATGTAGCCCAGCCTGGTATGGCATTTGCTATTTTCCTACTTCCCCCCCACCTAATTTTATACTGTCTTATTTAACTCTCACAAAAATTTCCTACAAAGTGTCTTCATTTAAAAATTCAAGACCTGAGATTTAAAGGAGTTAAGCAAAGGGTGCAATGTTATGAATTTGGTATTCTGCACAGCTGGGAGCTCTTGTTACTTTAAAGCTTGTAACTCTTTTTTGCTTTAGGAGTTTCAGTAAGTAAAGTAGATTTTAGTGTTTAAAACAGTGTTAAGTTTAAGGCAAATTCGATTGGGAAAGCAGTGTCAATAAAACTTCCCTCCCCACTTTCATGAACATATCTTGCTACATCTTCATATGTACCAGACTATGTATTTGTTACAATTGATAACCTTGCACTTAGACACCATTATCCAGAATATATAATTTACACTTAGATTCACATTTAGTGCTGTGCATTTAGAAAATATATGATACATATCTAGCATCATTTAGAAAATGATACATATCTAGTATGATATAAACCCAGTGCCCTAAAAATCTGTGTTCTGTCTATTCACTCATACCTTCCTTCTTGATAACCACTGTCTCCATAATTTTGCCTTTCCCAGAATGAGACACAGCCTGTAGCTTTCTAAGATTACTAAAATGAATTTAAGTGTGCTTTTTGTCTTAAAAATACACATACACACATTCAGAAATAAATGCAAAAATTTATGATCAATTTATCTTTGACAAATGTGCCAAGAATATACAATGGAAAAAGGACTGTCTCCTCAATGAATACCATTGTGGAAACTTGATATCCACATGAATAACAATTAAATCATGCCTTTACTTAACAACTATACTAAAATTAAGTTGAAATGGATAAGAAGCTTAAGTGTAATATCTAAAATTACAAAATTACTAAAAGAAAACATAGGAGAAATTTCTGTGGCATTAGTTTAGGAAATAATTTAAAAACATACAACCCTTCCAATGAATAGGCAATGAAAACAAAAATCGAATAATGAGATTACATCAAAATGAATAAATCTAGCCCATCAGGAAAACAACTAACAATGTAAATCTAAGCCATTGAGTAGGAGAAATATTTGCATAAAAATTTCACAAAAGAAGACACACAAATGTCTCAACAAAATTTAGAAACTGCTCACTAAACGTTAGGGAAGTTAAAATTAAAGTCATACTGAGCTATCTGTTGGATAGCAAATACTGTTGGAGTTTGGTCTAACGCTAATTCCTGGCACTCAAGATCTAGTTACTCATGGCTAGAAATGCCTTTAATCTCAATACAAAGGAGACAGAGACAGGGAGATCTCTGATCAATCTAATTTACATAACAAAACCAGGGCAGGAAGAGTTTAGGATTCAAAATGAACTTTTACTTAAGGTTAATTACAATGCAAGTTCCTTTTTCTTAAAAAAAATGGATGTTCTCTTTGTGGAGTTCCACAAGGAGAGCAACAGAACAAGAAAATTTGAACACAGGGAACTTCCCAGAGACTCATACTCCAACCAAGGACTATCCATGGAGATAACCTAGAACCCTGACAATGCAGCCACTTCTGCTGAGAACTGATAGACTAAGATCAGAAAGAAGGAGAGGAGGACCTCCCCTATCAGTGGACTTGGGGAGGGGCATGCATGCAGAAAGGGGGGGAGAATGGGACAGGGAGGGGAGAAGGGAGGGGCTTATGAGGGGATACAAAATGAATAAAGTGTAATTAATAAAAGTTAAAAAAAAGAAAAAGAAAAAAATAAAACATACTCAAAAAAAATGGATGTTATGTCCTTACTG